CATGAGAAACTATCTATTCTGTAAGCCTTCACCTGAAGTACAATAAAATATTTTAAAAAATAAATAAATAAATAAATAAAAAAAGAAATCCTATGGGGCAGTTTTCCTCTGTCACATGGCACCGCTATGAGTCAAAATTGACTCGACAGCACCTAACAACATAACAACAGTCCAAAACCTTCATTTTATAGAAAGGAGAAACCACGGATCAGAGAGGGAGATTTGTCCAAAAGCAGATGGTAAATCAGAGGGGAGCAGAGATTAGCTATTTTTACTCGTAATCTCCTGATCTAGTAAACCACAGCTGACTGACCACTAGTAATGAGAAAATGCATCTGGCTGATCTTGACTGCTCCCTCACTGTTCTTCTGGCTGTCTTTTCTCTAACAGCTAAAAGTAGCTAACACTTAGTGAGTACTTACTATATGCCAGGTCCCATGCTATACTAGGATCTCTCAACCAACTCCTGACAACTGCATGAGGTAGATACTAGTATTACCTTCATTTTAGAGATGAGGAAACTGAGGCTTGTAGAAACTAAGCAATTTGTCCATTCAAACCCAGTCTACCTCCAGAGCCTGCATGCCACTCTTCTATACTGCAGTTCCTGCTACACCTGTTTCAAGCCTTCTCCTCAAACCCTCAACTTCACCACTCCCCCCCTTATTTTCATCAAAAGAGCTTGCTTCCTCCCTTAGAGAAAAAATGAACACACCAACTCAGCTTCGTTTGTACTGTCCTCCTCCTGTTCTACATTGTATGGAATAGTCCCTCCTCTTAGGGCCCTGCTCTTCCAATCCCTTCCAGCCAAGACCCACTCTCCCTCCTTTCATAGCCAACTTTCCTTCACCAAACCTGCTTTTTTCCACAGTTCATTCTACCATTCATTCTCCAAAGAGCAAAGTGATCTTTTCAAGATGATGTCACTTCCTTACTTAAAACCTTCAATGGCTTCCTATTAATTCATTTAACAAACATTTATGGAATGCCTATAATGTGACAAGTGGTTTTAGGTACATAGGATACTTGGTAAATAAAATATCAAAGATTCCTGCCCTCATGGAGCTTATAGGCTAGTGGGGGCACACAATAAACAATATACGTAATAAATGGATTTTATAGGATGTTAACCAAAAACCCGTTGCCATCAAGTCGATTCCAACTCACAGTGACCCTGTAGGACAGAGCAGAACTGCCCCATAGGGTTTCCAAGGCTGTAATCTTTACGGAAGCAGACTGCCACATCTTTCTCCCCCAGGGCAGCTGGTATGCTTGAACCTCCAACCTTTTGGTTAGCAGCTGAGCACTTAACCACTGCACCACCAGGGCTCCTTTATAGGATGTTAAAACCAAAAAAACCAAACCTGTTGCTGTTGATTCTCACTCATAGCAATCCTACAGGACAGAGTAGAACTGCCCCATAGGATTTCTAAGGCTGAAATCTTTACGGAAGCAGACTACTGCATCTTTCTCCTGCAGAGCGGCTGGTGAACTTTCGGTTAGCAGCCAAGTGCTTAACCACTGTGCCACCAAGGCTCCTCCTTATAGGACCTTACTGAAGTGATATCTGACCAATGACTTAAAACAGTTAAAGGAGTTGGCCATGCAGATACCTGTGGGAAGGGCATTGTAAGAAAGCTAGTGCAAAGGCCCTAAGGAGAGTGCCTGGTGTGTTTGTGGAACAGTAACACTGGTATGGTTAGAACGGAATGAGGAAGGGATGAATGGTAGGCAGGAGGTAGGAGATGAGGTCAGAGAAGTAAAGGGGAATAGCGAGATCACAAAGAACCTTGTGGGCCATTCCACAATGAGGACTTTAGCTGTCACACCAATTGTTCTTATAAGAGCCTATCTTCTTAATATGGCCTTGTAGGCTCCAACAATCTGGGCTCTGCCTGCCTCACACCCTCACTATGTTCTAGCCATGTTGGTCTGAATTTAGTTCTTCCAATCCCCCACGTGCCTGTTTACCTTGAGGCCTTCACCCAGTCCATTTCCTCCGTAGACAGCTCTTCTCCTATGCTTTACCTAACATCTATTCATTCTTCAGGTCTTGGCTTTAATGTCCAAATCAGGTCCCCCTATCTTACCCTCTCCTGTATTTCTGTTGTAGCTCTTATACCAGTTGTCGCTGAGTCGATTCTGCTCATGGTGACCCCATGTGTGTCAGAGTAGAACTGTGCTCTACAGGATTTTCAATGGCTGACTTTTTGGAAGTAGATTGTCAGGCCTTTCTTCTCAGGTGCCACTGGGTGGACCTAAACCTCTAACCTTTCAGTTAGCAGATGAGTACATTAACCATTGCACCAACCAGGGACTTCGTAGGTCTTACAGCAATAGTAATTTTACATTTACTTGTGATTCTTTGATTAGTGTCTGTTTCACCCACTTGACTGCAAAACTCCATGACGGCCACAACTGGGTCTCTTTTATTCAGTTATATCCACAGGGCTGAGCACACTGCGAAGTAAACTGTACACAATAAATACTGTAAAATGAATTAATGGGATGATGGATAGTCAAAGAGGCTTTTTAGGATGAGAGAAATCTGTGCAATCCTGAATGATGAAAAGGAGGGAGAGAGGTTGAAGATGAACTACAAAGTGAATAACCAAGGAGAAAGAACTGAGAATCCTTGGTGAGCCAAGGTGATAGGAACCGGAGCCCTTGGGGAGGGACTGATCTCTGGTAGGGTCGCCTCTCTCAGGTTAGAGGAGTCACGTCCAATCATCCTCTAGATCAATTACACCTCCTCGCTGCTCTAAAATCTGTCCTTTTCTCATCATCCCTAAGGCCGGAGCCTTAATTCAGGTTCTCATCATCATTTGCCTGGCTCACTGCAAAAGCCTCCCAGCTAACCAGTCTCCCTACCTCCTCTCCAGCCTTGCCTTATGTCCCCCTCCCCGCCTCCAATTCCTGGAACGCACTGCGTTCTCCATTCTCTCTAGGAACTTGCCGAAGCCCAGAACACCCCTCTTTCCCCCTCAAACCCTCTCTCTTTGCCTAACTCCTACGCTCTTTAAGCTTAGATCAGGCATCGCCACCTCCTCTGGGAAGCCTTCCTTAACCGCTGCGCTCCCACAGGACCCACCCCCACTTCCCCGGGCCGTGTGGGAGAAGACAACCTAGAATTTAAGCACCACGCTCCCGCGGGGAAGTGTGGAGGGAAAAAAATTACCTCCCGGCCGGTCTCCCGCGCCGGACTCAGACGCACTCCAGGGGGCGTGGCTCCGGCCAATCTGGGCGCCAAGCCGGAAGGCACCAGCCAATAGGCTCTCAGCGCGCGCCGAGCCGATTCCCCAGCGCCAGACCCGTAAGTCTGAACCGAAGGCCAACCTGTCGGCGACTCTGAGAGCGAGATCCCGCCCCCATCCCCGACAGAAGGAGTCGCGCCAAGAAACCAAGCGGAAGTGGTGCGCATCCACCAACTCAGGCGAGAGACGCGTGGTGTCATGGCTGCCGACAGTGACGATGGCGCAGTCTCAGCTCTAGCGGCGTCTGACGGTGAGTGACTTCTCAGGGGCCGCCTTAAATGCCTACGGGCTCCGGGGAAAGGGAAGGCCTGGGATGCATAGCCCTAGAAACCGTCCTCAGGCTTCAGAGGACTAGCTTCTTAAAACCCAGTAAGTCACGAGAAGACTACAAGTCCCGGTGTGCATCGCGGCTCGGAAAGCCTGGGGTGTTGGGAGTTTAGTTAGGAGATGTGAGGGCACGTCGGGAGATGTAGTCTGAGATGATGGCTGCGTTATTAGTTGGGAGGCTGGGAGTTGTGGTCCAAAGGAAGTGGGACATAATGGGAACTGTGAGGTGGGCCTTACTTATCAAACCCTGGAGAGTACTGGGGCTGTGGCTTGTGCTGGAGCATCATGAGAACAATAGTATGGAGCCTTTGGATGTATTAAGGGAGCTGAAATCCTCAAGCTCTGCAAAATATTTCCTGCAGGACGTCGGAGGAAGGAAGCTCAAAAGGCATCTAATCCAACTTCCCTCTTCTACAGATTGTGAAACTTAGGGCTGCAGGGAGACATTATCCCAAAGTCTCACATAAGCCCCTGGAAGACTCAGGCCTCCTCTCCCTTCCAAGGCCTGTGCCTAGAACATGACGGATACAAGGGCTTGAAGAAAAAGCTACCATATCTTGCCCCAATGGAAACTGCTCCCCAGGCCCCAGCCATGGCCTAGCTTGGAGTATCTGTTCCCCTGGACCCTAGCCTGAACATTAACATCCATCCCATTCCTTACCCCAGGCGGTGTCAGCAAATGCTCAAAATCTGAGAAGGAGCTGGTAGTTCAAGTTCCTGTGGTGGATGTGCAAAGTGACAACTTCAAAAAGATATGGCCGTCCCTCCTGCTGGCTATAAAGACAGCTAGTTTTGTGGCTGTAGACACGGTGAGGGTCAGGGAACAGGGAGGGCAGGTCACTGTGAAAAGGCTGGGCCTAACACAACTCTCCTTTTACCTACCCATAGGAATTGAGTGGGCTTGGCGACAGGAAGAGTCTGCTGAACCAGTAAGTATAAGCCCTGTTCTTCTTAGTCCCAGCCCAGGAGGGGCAGACCTTAACGCTGGTGTGGAGGATCACAGTTCTGGGTGGTTTGGGTCCTCTGTGAGGCTAACTCTGAGCCACAGCCACCCCCAAACCCAACCCCAAGGTGCATCGAGGAACGTTACAAGGCTGTGTGTCAAGCTGCCAGGACCCGTTCTGTCCTCTCCCTGGGCCTCGCTTGCTTCAAGCAGCAGCCAGACAAGGTACGGGCTGATTTCAACCCCATCCCAGGCCTGTGGCTGGGAGGAGGAGGGCTGAGTTCCTAAGGAACATCAGGTGTGATGTTTTCTCCCAAGTCTTGATACAGCAGCCCTGCTTCCTCTCTCAGAGTGAACACTCATACCTGGTCCAGGTGTTCAATCTGACCCTACTGTGCGTGGAGGAATATGTCATAGAACCAAAGTCTGTGCAGTTCCTAGTACAGCATGGCTTCAACTTCAACCGGCAGTATGCCCACGGCATCCCCTACCACAAGGGCAATGACAAGGTAGGCCTCCAGACTAATCACAAGGGTGGGAAGTATCAGGTTAGGCAGGGAGGGAGAGCTTTCCAGGTGCAGGAGCCCGGGTTAAGTACACTGAAGAGGAGGCTCCTTAGGGGACTGTGTTCTTCCCCATGAACCCTTTCCTTCCACCCAGGGTGACGAGAGCCAGAGCCAGTCTGTGCGGACACTGTTCCTGGAGCTAATCCGGGCCCGCCGGCCCCTGGTGCTACACAATGGCCTCATAGACTTGGTATTTCTATACCAGAACTTCTATGCACACTTGCCTGAGAGCCTGGGAACCTTCACTGCTGACCTGTGTGAGATGTTTCCAGCTGGCATTTATGACACCAAATATGCTGTTGAGTTTCATGCCCGCTTTGTGGCCTCCTACTTAGAATATGCCTTCAGAAAATGGTGAGGGGATGGTGAGGGAAAGGGGTGGGGCTTGGTATGAGCCTATTTCATTCATTTAAGACATTTACTGAGTGCCTACCATGTGCCAGGCACTGTTGTAGGTGCTTAAGATTCAGCAGTAAACAAAACAGACAAAAATGCCTAATCTCATGGAGTTTATATGTTAGTGGACCAGTATCCTCTTGCACTATTGCAGTGAGCGGGAAAACGGGAAGCAGCAGGCAGCTGGCAGCCCACATCTTACCCTGGAGTTCTGTAGCTACCCTTCCAGCATGAGGGCCCATATTGACTACCGCTGCTGCACATCTCCTGCAACCCACCGTCCCCATCCCACCAGCGTCTGTGACAACTTCTCGGTGAGAGCACTCACCCATTTCCTTGGGGAGGGGAGGTTCTGATGCCTAGCACCCCCCTCCTAAGGCTCTTTCGTACCTCTAGGCCTATGGCTGGTGCCCCCTGGGAACACAGTGTCCTCGATCCCATAATATTGACCTCATCATTGACGCTGACGAGGCTGCGGTGGAAGACAAGCGGCGACGGCGGCGAAGGCGGGAAAAACGGCGGAGGGCTTTGTTGAGCCTGTCTGGGACACAGACCTCTGGGGAAGCTGAGGATGGCCCTCCCGTGAAGCAGGTCTGTGAGGATGGCCTCAAGGTTGAGGAAATTGAGCAGGAGGTGGCTGAGAATGACACTGCGAACCAACCTGGCTGTGAGGAAGATCACAAAAATGACTTAGAGAAGGGGGTTGAGGCAGCAAGGCCTGGAGGCACTGACATGGCTACCCCAGAAGTGCCAGGCAGTCAAGCCAGTCCTAACTCAGTGCCTGGAGATGGGCTGCACCGGGCTGGTTTTGATGCCTTTATGACAGGCTATGTGATGGCTTATGTGAAAGTGAGCCGAGGACCCCAACCCTGCAGATCTGGACCTTGGCTACCTGAATGCCACAACAAGGTATACCTGAGTGGCAAAGCTGTACCCCTCACAGTTGCCAAGAGCCAGTTCTCCCGTTCCTCGAAAGCCCACACCCAGAAGATGAAGCTGACCTGGGAGAGCAGCTGACCCAACTTCTGCCTAGCACTCGGAGCCTAGGAAGAGTAGCTGAAGGTAGAACAACAGGGTTTGGCTCCTGGCAGAGATAGTGCATTGCCCATGGACCTTTTCCTTTATCCCAAAGGCTGAGGTACAAAGGTACAAATAAGGCGGCTGAACAGCACCTGTAACACCATCTTTTATTTATTTTTAAATCTGAAAGTGTCTTGAGAAAGTTAAAAAAAAAATCAACAGAAACAAGCTATGAAAATATTTGACTAGCTTCATCTTTGGTTATTTCTTATTGCGGCTCTGTAAGGACAGACTATTCCCATAGCTCCAGCCATAGCAGGAAGGGAAGAAAATCGGTCCATGTATAAACCATTTAACCAGTTGGTGTATCACGTGTTGACAAATACATAAAGCAGGCCCTAGGGCCTACAAAACCAGCCCACTCCCAACCACAAGGTTGAAAGTCCTAAGGGCAGAACATTAAGACTCCATCATAAATAGGAAAATAGATTAATCAATTGGAAAAGGTCTTTGAGTAGGTTAGCTAAGAGCCATGACCACTACACGTTGCCTTGCCCTCCCCTTGCATAGAATTGTAGTGATGTGGTCTGACCGTGCAGTAAGTGCAAACAGCAATTATTCAAGTGTCTTAGACATACTGGCAAGAAGCGCCCCAGTCTTCAGGTCTGAGAAACAGCCATGCCCTTTATGGCCTCCTGGTCAGCTCCAGGTTCTGTCCAGTAGCTTATATGCCCCAGGAAAGGGAAAGAGACAGACCTGGGATGGAAAAAGAACCTGGGGTAATAGCTGCCTGCCAGCTTAACCTAGAACTAGGAGTCCTCTGGTCCTGTCTTGGGAAATGCATTGGGGGGTCATGTGGGAGCTAGAGCTCCTTGCTGGATTTCAGAAGCTTGGTATCAGCTGTTGGCCCTAACTAGGAAGGCCTCTCACTTCTACCTCTCCTCTCATACACAGCCATTAGGCATTGGGAACCCCAGAGTTGAGCTTGGCCTGACCTAGCCTACCTGCTCTATGGGCTCCCGGGAAGAATCAAGGCAGTGCTTCAGCTGAAGGTCCATCCTCAAGGTGAGCAGGGGACTAACCCCCTCACCCATCCTGCTCTCCCTGGCTTTGCTGGCCTGTGCCTGAGCTGGAGAAAGGGACTGGGGCCACGCATATTGGCCTTTCTTCTTCAACCTCCATCTCCTCAGAGACACCTGGAGGGCCTGGACTGGCCACTTGAATCCTGGGCCCAAAACCATTCTCTTCTTGGGCACTGGAGCAGTCCATGGCCTCATGGGCTGGAGCAGCTGGTAGGGCAGATGCCTGGAATGGCGGAATCTCTCTTACTCTGTACTTTAGACTACTGAGTCGTGGTGGGGGCCCATCAGATAATGACTCCTCCCGGCCCATGAATGGACAGGCTTCCTGATGCAAGAACTCCGGTGAACCAGGCAAAGAACGCCACCGTCGAGCAGGTGGGGCCAGAGGTTCCTGCCAATCAGCCAGGGGCATAGTTCCAGGCCCTGGTGCATCTAGGTCAAACACCAGGGAGATGACAGACTTGCTAGGCAGGTCAAAAAACTTGATCTTGCCACCTTTGAGGTCCTGGCGAGCACTGAAAGGGTTGACCTTGTGGGTGCGGGCAGCAGCACCTCGTTGTGGCCGATAGTAGGGGTCCAAGACGCTCACTGTACGTGGAGGCTTACGGGAAAAGATGTCTGACTGACTGCGAGACAGCCAGATAGTACGTCTTAGACATGGAGACTTGGGGGGGATCTTGTCATCCAGTGTGCTCAATCGCTTCACTCCAGGTCCTTTCTCCATGAGTCCTGAAGAATAGTGAGGCAAATCAGCGTTACTCTCACCACCCCTAACAAGTAGAAGCAGCACTTTGTACTACAGAGTGTTTACACTCGTGAAAGCAAAGTAGACAACTGTTGCTGAGGAAATAGTCTCAGAGAAGGGAAGCAATATGCCAAGTCACAACTCTTAACAGAGAGCTCAGAATTTTTTTCCATCATCCTCGGCTCCTCCCCCTTGCCTGTGGACTTGAGATCCTGTAATCACAACCCTAGAGGGGAAGGCCCCACCCCCTAATTTCCTCCCTTAGGATCTCTGGTCCCTCTCTCTCTTACCCTTGGCTGTGTGCTGCACCTTCCTGTCGTGCTCCAGCTCTTTCTCCTGTAGGCGGCTCAGAATTTCCTCCAGGGTCCTCCCAATCTCCACAAAGGATGGACGCAGTTTGGGGTCCATCTGTAGGCATCCACACCAGCCACTAACTCTGCCCTCCAACTCCCACCCCAAGGATAGCATTCAAGTCTGTTTCTGGCATCTTAAAAGATTCAGATGTACAGCTAAGAGATCTTCTCTGAAGGCTCCAGGCCATAAGGGTGACACCCAGGGCTAAGGTCAGGGAAGATACTATTGTCTATTATCCTTCCTCCATCTCATCCCCCTTTCTGTATGCCTTACCCCTTGTTTGGCACAGGACCCTTCAAAAGTGTGTGCTCACATTGGCTTATTCTTTCTTGAGGTCTGCTGCTAACATGTCTCCGGGAGCTACCTGATCAAAGCCTACCTACCCCTTGGCCATGAAAAGTAGGTCCAGCCCCAGAGCTGGATAAAATTAAGGCTACGAGAGCCTTTCTCATGGAGCCTCAGGACCAGCTGGATCCACAGTCAGACAATAAAACCTGACCGGAGCTCCATCAACACCCAAAGCAACGGGTGGTGAGTCTACCTTGCAGGCCAAAGACTGGGTAATAGACATTTTTCCTTCCTTGGTCCAGGGCTCCGGAGAGCCCGGTCAGGCCTAGAGGAGAGGGGCGGGCACTGCCACAGAGGAAGAATGCCACCAGGCACTCATCCAGTGAGAAAGCCCCATATGAGGCTAATTAGTAGCCTCTCCCTGCAGTCCCAACCAAGTGAAAAGGCTTCAGCCAGCCCCTGGGGGAGAAAGACACTCACATTACAGCAGTTGAAGGTGAGCTGCAGGAAATCCGGGGGACAGTCTCCCACCATGTGCTGGAAAGCATCATAGTCCAGCCCAAAGTTCTGTGGATGGGTATGAGGGGGGTATGGGGGCATGAGTGGACATAGGTCATTAATTCCCCCACCCATCCTGGCCAGCTCAAGGAGAAGGTGGGAACTGTTCCTGAGAAGCAGCCACAGTCTGGATTCCAGCAACTCCATCCCAAGGACAAAACAGTTCCATAGCCTCAAAAGCAATCCTATTCCAGTGGCTCCCCATCCCTGCAGCTCACCTCTGTGCGGGGAAGATAGTCGGGATCAGCCTGGATGCGTGCGATGATCTCACAGAGGATGATGCCATAAGAGAACACATCCGCCTAGTGGGTAGTCAGACTTTGGGTTTCTCTTTCAATGGGGTGAGCATGGGCTATCTGCCTCCCATGTCTACCAGCCCAGGCCTGGGACCTACTGCCCATATTTCATTCAGTTCATTCACTGGGAAGCTGCCCAGTACCAGCCTTACTCTTGGCAAGAAAGATGTGGATGCTCACTCTGAACATAAAGGTGATCCTGGATGCTTTCTCCTAGGAGAGATTCTAAGGAGAACAAGGCCCTGAGGTCCCCAGACTCACCTTCTCATTGTAGGGCTCATCTCGAAGAACCTCAGGTGCCATCCAGAAGGGTGAGCCCACCACGGCTAGCTTCTCTCTCCCCTTGCTGTGGGATGAGATTATGTGGAAAATGAGCTTGCTACTGGCTGGTACAATGGGATCTCTGACCTTTGGGAATTTTCCCCCCAAGGGTGGGGCACAGACTAGGAGTGACCAAATTTAGGGAGCTGAGGTTGAGCTGTGACCAAGTATTGGCTTCTAGAGAGGACACTGAAGTTTTCCCTTTGCTTCATTCCCCCTCCTTTGTGACGCCAGTACCCATTAGGGCTACCCACCTGACATCAGGGATCTTCTCAGCTAGACCAAAGTCGGCCACCACTGCAGAGTAACCATTCTCATCCCTCTTTATCAGGCAATTCTAAGGTTTCCAAAGAAGAAGAGGACAGTGTGGCTTAGAAGTGGGAACTAGCCAGCCACAGCGTTATCATCACCCTCCCCTTCTCACTCACTCCTGACTCATTCCCTGCGTCTATACATAGAACACTTTTTCCTCTACTCTTTGGTGAACCACAATCTAAGTGATCAGACCATGTGGCATGAGTTAGTCCTGGAGATTGGATGGCTGCCCTAGGATTCATTTCATGCTTCAAACACAAATATTTACCTATGCTTTCTGTGCACTAGGCATGGTTCTAAGTGCCAGCAATACCTCAGTGAACAAAAGAGAAACCACTGTTCTCTTGGAGCTTACAGTCTAGTGAAGGAAGACAGACTGTCAGGCCTCTGGCCTTCCTCCTTTCCTCAGACTGCAGAGACCCAAAGCCCAGGCCTGACCTTGCTAGGTGATATAAAAATGTGTCCACGCCTACACTTTCACTGCCCATAGGATTACAGCCAATCTCTATGGTCTAGCTTTATCCAATCAACCTTCCTGCCCACCCTGGAACTTCCACGCATACATCCACATCCAAACTTGTCACAGACAAGCTTGACTTGACAAGCATGAACAAGCTCTTCAAACCTTTGCCTTTGCTTATACTGCTCCCTTCCATTTGGAACATTCTCCCAATTCTCTGTTTCACCTAAGAAATTTTTCTTTTAAGGAGAACTACCCTACCAAGACGTATTCCATTGGGCAAATCTGCTGCAAAAGACCTCTCTGAAGTGTTAAAAAGCAAAGATGTCACTTTGAGGACTAAGGTGTGCCTGACCCAAGCCATGGTATTTTCAATCGCCTCATATGCTGGACAATGAATAAGGAAGACCGAAGAAGAATTAATGCCTTTAAATTATGGTGTTGGCGAAGAATACTGAATATACCATGGACTGCTAGAAGAACGAACAAATCTGTCTTGGAAGAAGTTCAGCCAGAATGCTTCTTAGAAGCAAGGATGACGAGACTTCGTCTTACATACTTTGGACATGTTATCAGGAGGAACCAGTCCCTGGAGAAGGACATCATGCTTGGTAAAGTAGAGGGTCAGCAAAAAAGAGGAGGATCACCAAATGAGATGTATTGACACAGTAGCTGCAGCAGTGGGCTCAAACACAGCAACGATTGTGAGGACCAGGTGATGTTTCACTCTGTTGTACACAGGGTCACTATGAGTCGGAACTGACTCAATGGCATCTAACAACAACCTCTCCAAGGTGATTGCCCCAGCTCTTACCCTCATCTCTTTCTCTCATCTCAACCCCTTTAGCTCCTGCTCTATGCCACCTCTTCTTACAGTTGAGCAGAAAAGCTATGAGCTCCTTAGGAGCAGGTTCTGGTTTGGGCCTTCTTTCCTCACAGTATTCATGGCAGAGGCTCAGAACATGTTCACTGAACAAATGCTGCTGCCTCCAGAGAAAGGATGAACCCAAATGACCTATAAATAAATACAAAGCAGCAACTACCTTTCCCCAAATAGCTGCATTCAAAATAGCCCTCCATGGCTCTGGCTCAGGAGGCATCCCACCCTACCCTCCTTCCTCCAAAGGCGGCAGAGAGTAGGGATCCTTGGCTCACAGGAACATTTTTGGAGCCAGCAAGGCCCTATCTGACCTAAATCAGCCCTCTCTCCTGCTCACCAGCCTTGGCATCTAGCTGCCAAAGCACTGCCAAGTTACCTCCTGCTTACTCCACATCAGGTACAGATCAATCCATTACTCTGGCCTTGATTTGATCACACTATTCTTCCTTCCCCAAGCTGGAAGGAACCTGTGATTTCATCACATTCTCTCCTAGTCTGGATCCCTGGAAGACACATGCCCTCTCTGGCCTCCAAGCAGGGCAGTCCTTGTGTTTGTCCTGGATCTGGGCCTTCCCATCAGTGCTCCTGGCTTAGCACCCCTAGCTCCCTGACTCTGACTGCCTGTGAGAGGATGGGCCCTAGGCCACCCTGCCTATTAGACAGCCAAAGCTTGAGCTATAGGGCACCGGCCTGTGAGGCAGTGGCAGCTCAAATATGTCACCCATTTCACTCCCCTCCTCCTCCTATTTCACCAGCAACTCCTGTCTCCAAGGCTTCTGTCTCCAAGGCTTGGTCTAAAGTCCTATTTGCTATTTGTTTTATAGCCCTCAGAAACACCCTGTTAAAGTCACTTGGGAATAGCAGATAAGGAGCAGAACATAATCACAATGCACTGCCCTTGTTAAAGCTGTTCAGTTGCTGCCCCATCTTCACATTCATGGAGGCCTACTCTTCACTCACTGCAAACCACCCATCAAGGAGAAATTAATGTCTCTATAAGCATCTGAGAAATGGCTAAGGCAGGGATGATTAGTGCCTCATGTGGGGCAAAGCTGCCTAGCCCAGTCTGCCTCTGGTCTGGAGTGATTCCACTGCCCTCTCAGGGTTTCTGAAAACATTTTCCCCACCAGAACAGGCAAACTGAAGCTATCTGCATCTGAGGTGATAAGGAAAATGGAGAGGAAACCTGACCAGGATTAGTCCCTATGGTATTTTCCAACAACATTCCTGAGCCTGCACTTAAAGGGGTCTTGGGCTAGGAAGTTTTACAGGCAACAGTCGCTGTCTTTACTTCCTTATCTCCCACTCATTCCTTACTGGCTTCTGCTAAAAGTATTATCACTGAGGATCCCAATGACCTCCATGACACTAAACCCAATAGACAAATTAGTCCTCCTACTTGATCTTTCTGCTCTAGACATTACTGATTGCTTCCTTCAGTGTTTTTACAGGAGTCAAGAATCATGTTAGTACTGAGTATGTAGAGCTGCTGAATAAAGCAGTTGTGGTCATAGAGCTAGCTATTAGAGGCTAGTCCCTTTCCTTTTTGATTCTTCTCCACTGGCTTCTATGACACTACATTCCTGGATTTCTTTCTCTGCCTTTGGCTACTCTGCAGACTCCAACGCAGGCTCTTCTTCCCATTCCATAAGGATGATGCTGTCAAGGTTCTATTTCGAGCCTACAGCTATTCTTGTGCTGTATTGGGGAGGCTGTTCCACATTTCTGATTATCACCTCTGTGCTAATGACCCCGAAATATAACCTTAAAGCACAATTAAAAAAAAAAAAAACAGTTGCCATCAAGTCAATTCCGACTCATGGCAATTCCATGTGTTGCAGAGTAGAACTGCACTCCACAGGGGTTTTCAATAAGACACCTTTATTTGGGACACTAGTCCTACCTCCAATGCTGTGTTAATCCCAGGGCATCTAGTGTAATGCTTGCATTTCTAACCCAAGCTGTAATGTACATGGCCCCAGTACAGACTACATGGCTACACAATACAAAATGTGGAACTCAGAATACTGTAAGGCTCTGAAAGAACTGGAACCAATTTCAAGCTGTGTGGGATGCAAAGCTCACTGCAAAGAGGATGAAGAACGCTTCTGAATAAGGTTGCCTTGCCTAGATAGATCGGTAGACATGAGAAACTCAGTCCTCTAAGGGGAGAGGTACTCTTTTTAGGTTCAAAAAGCAGCCGAGGCACTGCTGCTGCCTGGCTCCCACTCCTCTTTGTCCTTACCCCTATTATAATACATCTTACTGCTGCGCAGCACCTTATATGATTGCCTCTTCAAGGGCAGGGAATGGTCCAATTTACCTCTGTATCTCTAATCTAGCACAAGCGCACAGAAAGAGCTCAGTGGAAATGTGTCAAATGAAGTTTGGTTGGATGACTGAAGCAACTGGGCTTCTCTTCAAAAGCACGTGTCAGAATGTATATACTAATCATACATTTGACTCTATAGTGGAATTGAGCTCCCAATGAAGGAGAACCAAAGAGGTGGCCATGGATGTAGTTCCTGGAGACCTAAACAAATTCTTCAGAACTGGGCCAGATTGGCACCTGACAGCAATTCCTGAGGTGTCCTGTAACAGCTGCACAGTCATTACTAGCACTGAATAAAACCACTTGAGCTGAGAAATGCCAAGTCCATTCGTTAGTGTTAGCTGTAGGCTAAAGCTATTTCTGCAACAACAACAAAAATGGTTTTCTTTTTTTTTTGCATTTGGCTGTTACGTCTTTTTTCTTTTGTTTTTTTTTTTTTTTATTGTGCTTTAGGTGAAAGTTTACAGAGCAAATTAGTTTCTCATTAAACAATTAATACACAAATTGTTTCGTGACATTGGTTGCCAAACCTGTGATGTGTCAGCACTCTCCCCTTCTTGACCTCAGGTTCCCCATTTCCATTTGTCTAGTTTTCCTGTCCCTTCCTGCCTTCTCATCCTTGTTTTTGGGCTGATGTGCCCATTTAGTCTTGTATATATGGTTGAACTATGTGTGTTATTGTTTGTTTTATAGGCCTGTCTAATCTTTGGCTGAAGGGTAAACCTCAGGAGTGACTTCAGTACTGAGTTAAAAGGGTATACAGGGGCCATACTCTTGGAGTGTCTCCAGTCTCTGTCAGACCAGTAAGTCTGGTCTTTTTGTTTTTTTGAGTTTGAATTTTGTTCTACGTTTTTCTCCACCTCTGTCCGGGACCCTCTACTGTGATCCCTGTCAGAGCAGTTGGTGGTGGTAGCCAGGCACCATCTAGTTGTGCTGGACTCAGTCTGGTCGAGGCTGTGGTAGTTGTGGTCTGTAAGTTCTTTGGACTACTCTTTCCCTTGTGTCTTTGGTTTTCTTTATTCTCCTTTGCTCCAGATAGGGTAGGATCAGTAGATGTATCTCAGATGGCTGCTCACAAGCTTTTAAGACCCCAGACACTACTCACCACAGTCAGATGCAGAACATTTCCTTTACAAACTATGTTATGCCAATTGAGCTAGATGTCCCTCAAGACCATGGTGCCCAGCCTTCAGCCCAGTAACTCAGTCCCGCAGGGAGTTTGGCTGTGTCTGTGAAGCTTCTATGCCTTTGCCTTGGTCAGGTTGTGCCGACTTCCTCAGTATTGTGCACTGTCTCACCCGTCAACAAAGTTACCACTTATCTACTGTCTAGTTAGTGTTTTTCCCTCCTCACCTTTCCCCTCCCTCGTAACCATCAAAGATTGTTTCTTTCTGTGTGTAAACCTTTTCATGAATTTGTATAATAGTGGTCTCATACAGTATTTGTCCTTTAGTGATTGACTTACTCAGCATAATACCCTCCAGATTCATCCATGTTGTGAGATGTTTCAGATTCATCACTGTTCTTTACTGTTGATTAGTATTCCATTGTGTGAATGTACTAGTTTATCCATTCATCTGTTGATGGGCACTTAGGTTGTTTCCATCTTTTTGCTATTGTGAGTAATGCTGCAATGAACATGGGTGTGCATATGTCTATTCGTGTGACTGCTCTTATTCCTCTAGGATATTTTCCTAGGAGTGGGATTGCTGGATCTTATGGCATTTCTATTTCTAGCTTTTTAAGGAAGTGCCATATCTTTTCCCAAAATGGTTCTATCATTTTGCATTCTCACCAGCAGTGCATAAGAGTTTCAAATCTCTCCGCAGCCTTTCCAACATTTGTTACTGTTTTTTTGATTAGTGCCAGTAACATCGGGGTGAGATGGTATCTCATTGTTGTTTTGATTTGCATTTCTCTAATGGCTAGTGACTGCAAGCAAAAAAGAAATGGTTTTCAATGTGCCATCACCTCTTCTCTCCCCAAACCCCAACAAACTCACTCCATAAACCCAAATGAGATCAAGAAAGAAAGGACCAATTCTACTCCTCAAGAAAGGTAAAGAGGTTCTTTTCACAGCACAGAGAGATGGAAGACCAAATTGCCCTCCTAAATGTCCCAGGGACTGCTACAGTCTAGGTCTCTTAGAAAATTATGTGGCTTGCTGTGATGTGTCCCATCCCATGCTCTGCATCCCACCACATGATTACATACCCGTATCATTGCTCTTATGTAATGACCTGTCTCCCCCAACTAGACTAAAAGCCTGTGAATGGTACAAATTGGGTTCCAGTTATTTCTATGTCCCCAATTCTGTGTCCTCTGACAGTCCAGTATAAATGGTTCCCAGATGTTGTTTACAGTTCTTCTTATTAAAAACAAACAAACAAAAAACTTCAGTGTATCCTGATAGCCACTCTCTACATCCCTCCAGCATTTAACTTTGTTCCTACTTCATGCTCTCTTCACTTCTGAAAATTGACATTTTCTGTTCCTTGTTGTATGGCATAACCTAAGACCATACCTAGGGAAGCTTTTCACTCTGGTGGAACCCACAGAGTGGCTTTTTTGGAATTGACTAAAACAATTTTTTTTAATTTTAAAAAACTAACCAAGATCAAGAGGCATAATTCACACTCCCAGGGGTAAACCACAGATGAGTGGTGCTTGCCTGATGATGAGCAGCAATGGTATTCGGCAGAAACAAAGTGCTCTCCTAACTGCCCCCAAGAGCCAAATCTCATATACAGGTATATAGTTACTCCTAACCAAAAAACCACACCAAACCCATTGCCATCGTGTCTATTCCGACTCATAGCAACTATAGGACAGAGTAGAACTTCTCCATAGGGTTTCCAAGGAGTGGCTGGTGAATTCAAACTGCCAACCTTTTGGTTAGTAGCCGAGCTCTTAACTACTGGGCCACCAGGGCTCCAGTTACTCCTAAAGCTACTGATAAAAGCCTATGTATGGTTATTGCCACTTCTTGATGGAGCTCATGAACTGGATACTTTTAAAGTCACATTACCAGCCACTTCTGTCTAAGTAAATTCTCAGCATCACTACTGCACTAATTCATATCAGATTGTTTCTTAGAAGTAATTACACAATTAGACTGAACTGCTATACCTGACAGACTTCACTCTTGGAGCAGTATTGCAGTAACCACTGGGATATGAATCTTACAAAGGCAATACTACTTTCAGAAGACATTCTGGTAGGAAACTAGGAATCCTCTTTGCCTCTACCACAGGCTCAGAATCATCTGGAAAAAAAGCATCTGCTTCTCTCTATCCTGGTTTACCCACCTGGAACACATTCCCACTACTTTAAATCCCTTCTGTTAGCTCTGTCTGATCACTCTTGTGAGGTCAAGGACAGAATCTATTTTACACACTGGGAACACAGAGGCCCTAAGAGCACTGAAGTCATTTGGAGAGGCGGGGCACAACTGGGCCTGGGACCCAAAATCTCAGCTCTTGAGCAAATGGTTTAGCCCTTGTGCTATCAAGCCCATGCCCTGAAACAGAGCCAGGAAGTCCCTACTCTGACAGGATCCATGCTAGGTGCTAGGAATACAAAGGTGAATAAGAGGTGCACCTGAGAAACTCTTATGCTGGTGGGAGATACAGACACAATAGAACAATCAAATAATATGCAGTGTACACTGCTACACTGTAAGTAAACCTGTTACTGTCCTTAAAGAAATCAAACTCAGACCCTCCACAGTTGACAATGAAGAGATCACTGTGAAACCTCAAAGGTCTACTTTGTCCCTTTGGCCTTATTTTTCCCTTGAGGCATCTCATTCTTATGACCACTGCCACTCCCACACAGGTCTCCTGAGTGGGGCTACTCTGGCCTAGTTGTTGACATACAATCTTCCCCCTAGCCCCTGCAATATAGTTAAAATGAGGCTGGAACATTTCTATGCACTTAATCAAAGGCTCAGAGATGATAAAAGGGCAATCAACACAGTATCTCAAATTGAATAATCTGGCTTATGAAACTCAATTGTTTGTCTTCAGCTTGAGGTCTCCTACATTGTACTTCCCAGCCTGCCTCCAGGCTGCAAAAGTCACTGGTTCTCACCACCTGGAAGTATCCCTCAACACCTCCTTAAAGTCCAGACCCAAGAAAGCCCAGAGACACAAAGAATTCTTTCTCCTAAATTCCTAGTTTCTTGTCTCAGGCCAACTGACACTGAGAATACCCACTCCAGGGAAACCGAAGGATAGTGGTCTTACCCTACAGATCTAAAAAGGTTGTCATTTTTACAATACAACACAAGCCTAGACAGAACCACACTTGGGCACTAGCCCAATGGGACAAAGTGTTTTGCGGGCACAGAAGGAAATATGATGAACTCTTAGGGAGTGGTGGGGAGACCTATCTTCTCCAGAACGCTTAGCTATCCTAGCTTAGAGTGATCGTTCCCTGCTCTGAAAACATATAGTCTGTGCTATATGGCCAAATACTCAATTATAAAATGCTGTGTACTGTACTTTAGCTATTTCCCAAAAACAAGATTTTAAGTATATCAAGGTCAGAAACACTTCTTTTTAAATATTCCTTCTTCCATGGTGCGAGGCCCAGGACTAGACAGTCATGTAGATGTGGAGGAAATAATCTATGTGACTGATGGATGACGTGTCATGAACTACTTCCGTCTTGGAAGAAATGATTCTCTTTGAGTGGGAAGCAAAGATTTGATTTGGGCTGGATACCAAAGGTGACAGTAAGCTATCAACTTAAGGCAGTTGCTAAATTAATACAACACTACCCATCTGCCTGGAACAACTACAGTTTCCCTAGTCTTGATTTCCTAAAATATTCTGGGAGGAGAAGAAAAGGCTGATGAAGGGATAGAATACCACCTTCCACCTACCAACTGTCCAGTCCTTGCAGGTACTTATTTAGATAAAGGGCTCCTTACAACCAGTCCTCTGCTGATTCCCAGCCTACTTGCCCATCTTAGTGCTCCTTCAGGAACAATGCTGTTTTGCTAGGTGTCGTCGTGTCCTTTTTTGACTCATAGCAACTCCACATGACAGAACAGAACTGCCCCATAGAGTTTTCTTGGCTGTATTCTACGGAAGCAGATTGCCAGGACTTTCTCCCACAGAGCTGCCGGGTGGGTTCGAACTGCCAACTTTTCGGTTAGCAACCAACCACTTAACCATCTGTGCCTTCCAGGAATAGCTCAGCTGACTACAAATGGCCCTGCCATACCCAGGGCCCTATAATCACCTCTCTAAAGCTATTTACTGAGCAGTAGTTTATAAACCAACAGCCAGGGTCCTTCAGGGACAGTATTGCTTTTAAAACACCAGAGCAACTGCAGTGTAAAGCAGCCAGGAAACTTGCTGCTCTAGGTCTTGTTGGCTCTGAGAGTAGAGCCTGCTTTTGTTTTCACTAAAAACTTTTTACAACAGGATCCCTCCCACTCATCCATGACAGAAGGGATGTGTAGGAGTATATGTATCATGTATATATATGTGTATGTGTTAAGGATGGAGAATGAAATAACAGCTATTCTTGGGCAGGTACAATACTCCTACTATATCTCTCCCTAGAAGATTTTAGATTCAGCTCCTGGGCAGATCTGTTAGATGCCCTTATAGTTCCTCCATCAACAATCAAACAGTACTATTTATATAAACCTTGTCGCAGTGGTGTCCTGGGCCACTTGGCCCTGAGATGCCTGCCTTGTAGCATGGCCAACTTCTTCTAAAAGCAACTCTTTTCTAACCTGGTCACACACCAATTTGGAAAGCAAAAGAATACTACAGAAACCAGCTGATGCCAAAGAGGAACAAGCAGGATGGCAGAAACTCAATCACACAGACAGAAACTGGGTCCGTACATCATGGCCCTCAAAATCTGCACTCAAGTGACTAAAAATCACTAAAACTCCTGCTCTTAACTAAGAGCTACCTCCTGGAGACCATGAGAGAGAGCACTAAGAGACAGGCCCTCACACCACCTTGACTGCTGTCACTCCTACAAGGCAAGACTCTCTTAACCCTCCTCATGTCATCTGTTCCTGCAACACACATTCAGGAGACTGAAGTCAAACATGAAGGCTCTCAAGGTGTATGTGTTGCCTGGCTCAACACTCAAAGGCACCTGCTGTGAGGTGAGACAGGCTTTCTAAGGACTAGCTATACAGAGTGATGAGTTCTGTCCTCTGTGATTAATTGTTAAATGTATAAGAGATTCTCCATCATTTCTAAGCTCATTAATGATTGGTCTCTTAACACAGCTTTCTTGGTAAGGGAGAAGGACAGTGTCTCTCAAAGAGCTGTGTAAGTAAAGCCTTCTTACCTTAGATGTGAGGTCCCGATGGAAAATGCCTTTGAAGTGAAGGTAGCTGACGCCCACTGCTATGTCATAGGCCAGTTTTACTCTCACAGTCCAGGACAAATGCAGGTTACTGTCTAGTAACTGTTCCAAGTTTCCAGAGTTGATATACTGCAAAACAGAAGGAAAACCCAGCTACCATTTGTCAAAAATGCTTAGGCTGGTGGTGAAACCACTAGAGAGTAAAAACCTAGAAGACAGAGGCTGTATATTTATTTATTTTTTAAGTTACTGAAGGCTTATTCTCAATCCAGGCACTGTGGTAGGTGCTGCATACAAAGATACCTTCTCTGAGGAGATCACAATCTATTAAGGAATAGAGACACAATATCATGTGGTAAATGCTAAAATATAGGCATATACAGATATGACAGCACCATGCAGCCCAGAGGATAAAGCTATAACTCAGTCTGGGCAGTCAGAGAAAGCTGCAGAGAGGAAATAATGAGTGTATAAGGATGACCTGGGATAGCAGAAAAGGACAGTACACACATAGGAGAGAGCAACATATGCAAAGTTATAGGTTAAGTGCACAGTACATTCAGGAAACTAATTTAGTATGGCCAGAGTGCATTATACAGGAAGGGCAGGAAGTGAGGCTGATATGCTTTGCTAAGATATATGGACTTTATCCTATTTATAGGGAACAAATGAAACATTTAAAGCAGGGGCAGGGGCAACATGGTTATATTTGCTTTTAAAAGAAAATATTATTTTAACAATGGTATGGTGGATGGATTAAAAGGAGAATATGGAAAAGGGGAAACAGGATATTATTGCAATAAGGCTGGTGAGAGAAGGGCACCTGAGTCAAGGCACGAGTGAAAGCACTGGAACAGGGTAAGATTCAAGATGTATTCAGATGGCAGAGTCAACAAAAGTTGATGACTGCCTGATGGTGGGAAGAGGACAATAAAAAGCTCTAGGATGATCCCAGGCTGGTGCCTGGATATCATTATTAGATATCCAGAATATAAGGGCTGGAGCAGGTTTTATGAAGCAGTAGCACTGTTAAAAGATAGTGAGTTTAGCTGGACACGTTGAGTTTAAGGTGCTTGTGGGACAACACAGGTGGAGATGTCCTACAGATAGTTTAAAGCTTAGGAACAAAGTCTGAGCTGGAGACTAACACCTAGAAGGCAATAACACTCAGCTGAAATAGTCACTGATGCCAAGGAATATATGAAAATGTCCAGGGGTTAACATGTAAGGTTAGTAATTAACAGATTCCTAAGGAAGAGGAACATTTAAAGGGGCAGGCAGAGGAAGAACAACCAAGCAAGAATGTCATCATAGAAGCCAAAGGAGGAGAACATTTCCAAAAGGAAATGATCAACAGTATCAAATGCTGCAGGTCAAGTAAAATGAGCTTGGAAAGTGTCCACTGGATTTGCACCTAGAGATCACTGGGAACCTTGGCCAGCACAGTTTCAGTAAAGTGGTGAGATAAGACCAAAGTGAACTGAGGAGCGAGTAGGAGATAGGGCTATGGAAAAACTATGTGAAGGTGTACTCTTTCAAAAAGTTGGCTGTTCTTCATTCCTATATACCTATAAAGAGCTGCTTTGCTTTTTTTTTTTTTTTAAGATCAAATAGCATGTTTATGTATAGATGAGAATAATAATAATAGCAGCTAATATTTATAGAGCGCTTACTTAGTGCCAGGTAGTATTCTAAGAACTTTATGTATATTATCTCATTTAATCTGCACAATAACCCTAGGAGGTGAGTGTACTATTATTCTCATCTTACAGATGAAGAAACAAAGCATTCAGAGGTTTACTTGCTCAAGGTTATCCAATTATTAAGTGTCAGAGCAAGAGTTCAAACCCAAGAAGTCTAGTTCCAGAGTCCATACTCTTTACCACTACAGTACATTGGAGATCACAGCATCTGAGTCTAAGAGCATCACGCAGAGTAGGAGCTCAAAAATTTTTGCCAATTAGGTTAATGAATTTACTCAAGCCTCACATAATGGATTATTCTCCCTCCACCTGCCAAGAGAGAAAAGAAAAAGGGGCAAATTTCTCTTAAAAAAATATATATATTCACACACAGAGATACATATACACACATATATATATACATACATACATACTTAGGTTACTATTAGTATATATACTTATACTTATTAAATTATATACATATACTTGATACTTATTTTGGGGTGATATTAAATTTACAAAAAACCAGGAAGCCTATGGGATAGAAGGGCAAGAGATCTGAACTCTAGTCCAATTATGCCTCTTAACAGTCATGTAACTTCGGACAAATCAATTAACAAGGCTATCCTTCAGTTTTCTCAACTATAAAGTCAGTATAATAATCTCTGATTTATATAACTCACAATGTTATTGTGAGAATCTAATAAACGTATATGGAAGTACTTAGAAAAAAATGTTAAGTAGCATATAAGATTTTCTGATGTGGTAATTAATATAAGCACCAAAAAGAACCAGTTGGGGGCAGCACCATGCAGCACTTCAGATCCTTCGATGCCGCGGATCAAGTTCAGCAAGGCAAACAGAATGGCTAAAAATACACAACTTCTCAGAAGGGAAACCTGTTGATTTGCTTCATCCTGCTTGATAATCCATCATTGGAAAATTAAACTGGGGCATAATTACAGCATTAGTACAGCGTTCTTCTCTTCATTCTAGCTGAATCTGCCTAAGGTTCACATTTAAGGTGCCTGTTTGCTGAAAAGAAACTAAGCTTGCAATTTCCAAGCCACGTGGGGACAATGAAGTTGACATCTAATCATGGAGGCAAATTTCTTTAGTTCTGAGAATTCAAAGGTATGAAGAGGTGGGTTCACTTCAATGGCATGGTGACAAGTGTGACTTGGAAGGCCTGTCTTTGGGAGCCACTTGGGTTTCCAGAGTGACAGGCAGGAGAGACTATGACGAAAAGACTATATGTGCACTCTCTGTGGGTCAGGCTAGGCCAGAACTCTTGGTTCTGATTCAGAGAAGCACATGTTTACTCTATACAGCGATGTCTCTGAGGCCTTGAGAAATCCACAGACCAAGCCAGAGGGTGAGGAGCAGAGGAAAAAAGGTGGATCAAGGTGAGAAATTTCACTGGTAGTAACTAGCTCCGGCTTTTCCAGGAAAGACACAAAAAGCACAAAACAGGACCAGAGAAGCAAACAAAATGGAGTTTATTTTTGCAGCCTGTTTCTCTTGCCTGCCTTTGCTGAATACATTAGTGGGGGTGATAAGTCTTTGGGCCCTCAGAAACCACAACTTCCCAATGTCTCAAGACTTTTGCATGTATGAGGAAAGGAAGTGTGAGATCTGCCAACAAGGAGGGTTCCTAACTTGACACACATTCTATGTGCCTGTTAGCTGGAACGTTCACTTCCCCATAATAACTCCAGATGCAGACTCAGCTGGTGTGTCCTCTGAACAAATCCCTCTGCGGAAGCAGAGACAACAGCAACTGCACTAAGTATTCAGCTTTTCTGCATGGGGATAGCAGCTGGTTTGTTTTTGGTTTTCTTCCAGGTCACTACCTCAGGCAGCCCTACTAAATTGACAATACATTTAAATAACTTAACAGAGAAAGAGGAGCCCCGGTGGCGCAGCGGTTAAGAGCTATGGCTGCTAACCAAAAGGCTGGCAGTTCAAGTCCACCATCCGCTCCTTGGAAACCCTACGGGGCAGTTCTACTCTGTCCTATAGGGTCGCTATGAGTCTGAGTCAACTGAACGGCAATGGGTTATGGGTTTTTAATAAAGAGAGACGTTTTTACATTTTTTATTGCTGTTGCTTTAAACTATTAAGCTCAGAAATCTATAAATATCAGCCAATCAAATGTGTTTTAGGTACTTCAATACCTCTCAGTGATTGTTCCTCAACTTTACCTACACTAAAGCCTGCCTCTCTTCCTCATATTCTAACAAAAACAATAAAATACTATAACAGCATTTCTTCCATTTCATTTGTGTTTGATACTTGATTTCAGTGAAGATATGGACCCTTTTCCTAGAAGGCACTCAATGAATAAATGTGTTGGTTACTAAACTTTATGTAAATAAACCTTTATTACTAAAATGCAAGAAATCAAATGCCAACATCCTAAAAAATAAAAAATCACCAAGGGACAGGATAAATGGACAGTAGTTCCCCACTCAGGAATATCAATTCAGGTTATTTATACAAACGTTTATTGACTGCTCTTTCCCTTACTGACACCCTCATATGAGAGTAGGGTCTGGTTCGTTTCCTTCAATACTATATGCCCCAAAGTTTAGAATAGTGCCTGGCACAGTAAATGTGTGTATATAAAGAGGAATAACACCCAGTTCATACCTTAAAGAAATCCAGTTTGAGAGACACATGGGTAGTAAATAATACCAATAACGCTATAGCAGAGGTAAATACTGGGGGTATGAAAGTAGAGACCAATTCTTCCTGGGGAGTTTGGAAGGTTTCAGAGAAGAAACATCTGAGTTGAATCCTAGAGGATGGGTAGGAGCTGTCTAGGCTGAAGAGTATAGACTCTTCTCACATATCCCTACAGGCTCTGGTGGGTACCAACCCTGGCCAAGACAGACACAAACATGCTCAGACAGGGAATATTCTAGAGCAACACTCAACACTAGGCAATACTGACCTCTCCCTGAGGTAAAACTCACTACACCCAGGAATCCTGTTTCTAGTCCTTGCTGATTCCAGTAAGCTACAGTAGTCTTACCCAATCATAACCAATGAGAAGAATAAGACAAAATGGTAGTTTTTTTTTAACTGTGAATTATCAGTGTACTGATATCTAAAACCAAATATACTTATCTCTGAACAGTGGTTCAAAGGCATTCAGAGAGGCTCTGAAGAAACACCAACTATAAGAATTATTATTCCTTCTTAAAAATCTACCCAACTGGCCTAGAGCTAGGGCATTTACCCAAGGTGAATAAATGGGCTGCCATCCAACTAGCAGAGATAGTTTGCCACTAATTAGCACGGTTGTGTTAAGGAAGATCCATCCATCCATCAACTTACCCAAATGCTAAAAACCTGCTATGTGAAAACACTGTGATAAGTGGGGCCAGTCTCTGCCTTATTTCACAGTCTAGTAGGGGAGACAGAAAAAATCAACAATTTTTT